CCTGAGCACCCACACCTCTCCCACCCCCACACCCGATCAAGCCACTGCCACCCACCCGCACCAGCCAGGCCGCCCATGCCTCTCCCACCCACCCCACCCAATCAAGCCCCTGCCACCCCCACCCTGCACCCCCACCAACTTACCCTGCCTTCTGGCTGTTGGCAGTGGTGACTGAAAGCAGAGGCAGCATGTGCTGCTTCCCGCTCCTCCTGCTCCTGGCCCGACTGAGGGCTGTTGGGAACTAGGGGCGGGGCTTGCTGCTCCTGGGCTTGTTACTGCCGGAACGGCGTTCCTACTGGAAATGAGCCCTGCATAACTGAAAGAAACATTTACTAATCAGTAGCGCTACAGAGAGATTTTGCCATAAAAATGGGTTGCACTGGTAGGTTTGTCTTCTCAAAGTGGTATTTACACCAGTCACATTGCTGGTTTGGATGAGGGCTCTGTTTTGATTCTTCAGAAGAGATGGGTTGGATCCCGCTGTGAGTGCACAGAACGTTTCCCTCTCTAAAGTCCCTTTGTCTCAGGAAAGCTGACTCCCAGGATCATGAGATCTGCCTGGCTTGATAGCTTGGTGTGTCAGAGAGCTGTGGGGGAAGGAGGGCAGACCACCCTTTCCTCCCTCTTCCTTCAGTGCAGCTCCATTGACTGATTGATCTAAAGAAATGTCTCTTAAGTACAAAGAGCTACATTAAAAAGTTTACACATAACACTCTTAATAAATGACCACAGTATGAAAGTATGCTCAGGTAATATATTTGTGAACCCTGATTTAACCAGAAAAATATAAGAAATAGAAAAGTGCATATTCATTGTTTGCAGTACTGGCCAACTAAAAGGGGTGTTAAAAGGGGGAAAATCCAGAGAATTCCTCTCCTCCTATAAACAGAGTGCTGTAGTTACTAGATGTCAGGAAAACCTGCTCAATTTGCCCAGCAATCAGTCTCTTCAGGGGTCCATATACCAGCTGGGATAGTGCAGCAATGGCAGGAGTTGGTGTAAATGGATACAGGCCCGTAGCCAGAAAATGTTTGTTAGGGGGGAAACAAGGGGTTAGGGTTGTGCAGTGGAGCTGACTCCCACGGAAGCTGGCTCAGATCCCCTACCCCACTCCTGCTCAGCTCACCTTGGCAAAGAAGGGGTCCATCGCAGTGGTGTCCTCTCCAGGGGCGCTTATGTCCTTGCTCTGAAGTGGTGGCAGAGCCAGGAGCAGCAGATGCCTGAGGTGGGCTGGGGCTGGAGTGTCTTGCTGGCTTTCCCCGTCTTGTCTTTCTTCCCCCCCCCCCGCCCTCCACTTCTTCCAGCTGCCAGCGCTCTTCCTCTGCAGGGCAGCACTGACCACTCTGCCTGCACTTGAGGCTCACACTGTTTCTTGAAGTGCCTGGTCGGGAGGAAACATGAGCATGCCAGGGCAGGGGACCATGGACAGGGGAAGCCCGAGAGAGGATGCTGGTGGAAGTGGCTGCTGATCAGCTGAAGATGGCACGACAGAAACTGCCCAACCCAGAGCACTGACTTGTCCGCCAGCTGGTATGGCCAAAGTGGAGCAACCTGAGCGTGAGAGGACAGCCCTAAGCTCCATTCCCCACAGTGGGCAGCCAGGTGGGCATTTGGAGTTGGGAGTAAGCAGTGAAGTGGCTAAATTTGCAGATGACATTAAGTTGTTCAGGGTGGTGAGAACCAGGGAGGATTGTGAGGCACTCCAAAGGGATTCAAAGGGATCTGTCGAGGATGGGCGAGTGGGCATCTACATTGCAAATGGGGTTCAATGTGGCCAAGTGCAAAGTGATGCACATTGGAGCCAAAAATCCTAAATATAAATACACATTGATGGGGTCCGAACTGGCAGAGACTGACCAACAGAGAGATCTTGGAGTCGAAGGGAATTGAAAACAAATCAGCCAGTATCATAATGCCTCTGTATAAATCAATGGTGTGACCCCATTTGGAGTACTGTGTATAGTTCTGGTCACCACACCTCAAAAAGGATATTATAGCATTGGAAAAAGTGCAGAAAAGGGCAACTAGAATGATAAAAGGGTTGGAACACTTTCCCTATGAGGAAAGGTTAAAATGCTTGGGGCTCTTTAGCGTGGAGAAACGATGGCT